ATAATAGTGTCATAATTTTTTGTTTTCTCTTTTTTCTTACTGGCAAACAGATAATTAAATTGTAAATTTTAATAATGATTTTAGTCGACCCAACCATATTATATTGGAACAATTATCTATTCATCATTCATCGTTAATAAYTTAATTATAATTAGACATTAATTTAGTAAATAATTATTTGATAGGTATTCAAAATGATGTTATTTTAACTAATAATTAATATATTATAATATTAAACAATTTAATCTTCTTTCATTTTATATGTTAATGAGTTTTTTCCCAAAAAAAAAAAGTWTTTTAGCATATTAACCATATTTTGATGTTTTTAATTGTATATTTTATGGATTTCAGTAAAATAAATCCCTGTCATCTTATAGTTAATGTAATCATATACTTCTGTCCATTCAGCACAATTCAAAGTTGAATTGCCTAAAAATGTTTTTAAATATTTTTGATGTTATATTTCATTAAATTAAATCATACTCTATTATAATATAAATGGTATGTAAAAAATGTAAGYTATACGTATCTAATTATTATTAATATAGTCTTGAAGTTTGAAAAAACAAACAATTTTAATATCTACGATCTACCTACCTACCTACCCACCTACCTATTAGTATTTCATTTCAACTATTTTAAACTAACGCAAATTATACGTATCGAAGTGTACGCAGCATATATTATAAAAATTATTATAATATTTAATAGCACAAGATATTATTATTACATTGATAATTCGTCTCGTTTTGATTTTKAATTTGATTTTTTCATAAACAATAATTATATAGTGTAGCGAGCTATCTGCAATGAAAACACATTGAGGCGACTATCTAAAAATTGTTTCGATTTTGTGATTCCGACCATCACAGTGCCATGTTTGTAACATATAAAATAATTATTTTTAGAAAAAAACGTCAAAATATAATTAATTTCATCAAATATTATATCAATATTAATTAACTATTAGTTTTCGATCGCATGCACACGTCGCGTGCACGCTTACACATAACACTATACTATTACTTGGTACTTATTAAACGAAAAATACACATATAATTCAAATAGTAACAAATATATATGTCACACATATGTTTGATATAATRCATATACCTATTTATAGTGATGTAATTATGTAACTTACAGACAATTTCACAATTTTAACCTAGTCATGAGTATATCTAACAAGTAATGAAATCAAAAGTCAAAATATTTTTTTTATTAATATTACTTTTCAATATATCAGCTAACTAATAATAAATATTTTTTTTACAATATAAAATTGGCCCATTTTTCATTGTATTACAACATTTTTCATTTTTTCATTTTAACGTTGACAATGTTTAAAGTTTARTCGTCGTCGACCTTGAAATTCAAAAACCGTATTTACTAACCAAAAATAAGTTTAAGAATATTTAATTTTTTTCTATTTTCACTAACTAACTCTARCATAAAATAAGATAAAAATATATTATACAATTTAAACATATGATGGTATTTAATTTTTATATTTGTCATGCAATCGATGTCATCTACTCGTGTTTTTATATAAAATATAATGTTCTGTGACATTCAAGACGTGGTGAATCTATGCTAGAATTTATTACTACGCACATAACGTTAGATCTACTCGTACCTATATAATCGTAGTTTCATGAATAACAATTGGTATATTATGTACCTATACCTGGGTATATACCACATATACCTACTATTTATGTACAATATATTCATTAAAAACTCATGAAACCTCATASATAATAWAGATATGGATAGGCCACGATTATGTTGAATATATTTGAGGCCGTGTTCCCACTGGAGGGTAAGGCAATTGAGGCTCTTTGATCATAGCTTTTATATTGATAGTCGAAAATTGATGTAGATGTATATGCTATTTTACCTCAATTGTACCTCTTAATTACCGCTGATAAGACCGTTACGTCCTATCCATATCTTTATTATCTATGYGAAACCTCCACATGTGCTAATGATAATGTTCCAACAATACATATCAGAGGCTAAGGTTAGTCATGTTAATTAAAGAGTTATAATTTGTTTCGTTGAGTAGTATATATATGTGTGTGTGTGTGTGCATTCATATATAATAATGGTGTGTATACGTTGATTAGAAAACTATAAGAACAATAATTGAGGGAGTTTGCTCCGACTAATTATCGCATATTGTTGGTGAGAGATTTGATAGATGTGAAATGTACCTAACTATATAGACCATTTCAGGTCATCGATTTGTAAACACTAAATAATTTATAAGCGACTGAAACCAAAAAAAAAAAAGCACTGCGATCTCACCACTACATGTTTACACATTGTACATAACAAATGCCAACAATGGCCAATAAGCATAATATGAACATTGAACATAATACAGATTATCTGCATTATTATCGTGAAGATGAAACAGAACAACGAATATCGATTCAAAATTCAAACATATAAATAATTGTAAGAACCTATTACCTATTTAAAGAAACTATGCTATGTAAGTTGGTAATGTCCATTTAACTAGCTCGTAAGTACAAGTAAAATTGTCTTTCAAGCAATAGCTTTAAAAATCGAAAGCACTGCGTGCATCATGTAACTATTTAAAATCATTGGATATGCACTATTTTTAGACCCTCTACTAATCATTGTTCCTCKACCAAATGATTTGAATTCAATAAATGCCTAAATTATTACCTATAATGTTATGAATATATTATGAAGTTTTTATTTTTTATATGCGTATATAATTTATTGGTATAGGTATGGGCGAAAAGACATATAACATAATATTGTTGTTCATATACATTTATACAACCAAAACTGATAAATTTTTAGGTGTTTATATTGATTAGTTTATTATTACAAAAGAAAAAACACTGCTCRCCACGCCTAAAAAATTGCTTATCCTACGGTCCTTAAAACACTTTTTCAAAATGAATATTTTTAGTTTAAACTGYCAGACCGATCTCTTTTTTAACAGTACGTGTGCTATGTCCAAATATAACTCATCAATAAAAAGGGTCTTAAGTTTTCAAGATCTAAAACTATTTTTTGACTCTCTATAGGTGTATAAGCCACAGACAAAAAATAAAATAATTTTCACGTGCTTATCCTTTGTGGTTCTCCTACAGACGCTCATCATTGGTAGGTTAAATATTTTATATTTTTCATGTACAACTGTACAAGCTATACGCACGAGATCATAAGAGTCTCATTAAAAAAYCCTACTGCACTCGTCTCGTCCTATACTCTAATCTTTACTGCCGTTGGTACGTTCAATTCTCGTTTTACGTCATATTATTTAGATTTTGTATGCTGTGTTTGAGTGAGTGTTAGACTGCAATTGTTTCATGTAATTGTCCAATAGTTGTCTCCTGGGGTCGCTCATTTCATATCGTTACATTATTATCGTATTATTGGCAAAATTTTTTTTTAAATTATTTTATAATATTATTGCTCATCGTCAATGGTAATGATATGAAAATAAAATAAAAAATACTGTCGGTTACAGGTCGGCACCACGTCATTTCACGAAGAAGAACATTATTGCAATCAGCRCAGTATTATTTAAATCTATCATGATTCAAATAATAGAACAATTTATTCGTATATACTATATGAGGTGTAAAACCGACAGATCTTATAACTGTGTGGTAAGGTTATCGATAAAAGGACTAAAATAGTACTATTACTATTATTATGCTCTACAGACCTACAGTCGTGACGATACGGCCGTTTCTTTAACTCAGGGGTGAAATTAATGGTTAGGTTAGGTGGTTGCTATTTAAGTTTTTATTTATTATTATTATTATTTCTCTTTTTTTTTTTTAACGACCAGTGGACGTCCGATATATTGTGATAATTTTAATTTGTATGCACATAAAAAAAACATAGTTCTTACTTATACCTATCATGATCTGATTTATAAAATGTTAAAAACTTATTTCTTTATCCCTAAGTTTAGATGATTATATTATTGTCAGGAAAACTTTAAGTAATAAAAAAAAAAAATGTTCAATATATATTATGATAACAATATTGAAAAATAATTGGTCTCCGGACGAATACGATTTCATTTTAATGATCGCACATCGACTTTTAGTACAATAAGAGTTACAGTGTCATAGGTACTGATCTGGGCCCAAACCTAATAATGATACACAGTTGTTATTTGTAAAATTACAGTGAAACGTTTTTATTTTTACTATGAACCATAAAGAAGTATAGATAGGTAAAGTATAATATATTCAAAAAAAAATAATTTAATTCATAAAAGGAAAATTGCATCGATCATCACAAATGATTACGCGTGGTAGTACAAACACCAATATACATAAATAAACTTAAAATTAAAAGAGCAACTCAACATCCATTATTGTACCTACACTCAAGCCCGGAAAGATAAAAAATTTTCAAACCGCTAAAATCCGGTTGTTGTATAGATTTCACCATTAATGTTTGGATTTAGTATTTATAAAAGAAGAAATAAAGTCTGAACGATTTGCCACCACATAAACAACATTGAACTGTTTAGATTTGCTTGTTTTTAACTCTAAATTATACTCAACTGTATTGGTCTTGACTGAAATGCGACCTCCAATATACGATATTCGCTTGACAAACTCGAAGGATAATAATTTATTACACTTACACAAATTGTATTTATTTTCAATTTCGATTAATGGAGAAATTAAATTATAGTTCCAACTATATAACCTCCCGCCACGGGTCGACGCAGAAAATATTTCACATGTCAATAATTAATTCATATTTGTACTATATATTTAGAGATTAAAAAAAATTATTCGATACGCAAGGGTCTCCGAAATTCAATAGTATCGCCGATAAATAGAATACATATTTATTTTTTTTTTTATGTTTACTACCCATTTCAAATCAATATGTACCATCGCGATATACCGTATTTGATCGATGTTAATGTATAAAAAATGTGGGCTAACRACTCCGTGCGGGTCGAAGCATTTATTCGCACTCACCTCGTCGGGTAAAGATCTCTTCCAGAGCCCCAAAAGCTTTCCAGCCATGGCTGCTGGCTTGGCGGGCTTGCCAGACGACGAAATCTTGTGCCAGTCTTGTGCGAGCTTGTGCATCATCCACATGCCGGCCAGCCCCATTGCAGCCAGCAAAGCCAGCCTGATGAAGTGTATGTGCGCCTTAACGGCGGCGCCCATCACCAGCACTAAGAATCCGATTATCGCGAATCTCATATTGGCAATCGCTTTGTAGGTATTTACTGAAACAGAAAATTTGTATTACCACCGCGCTCGTCTTAATATAATAACTTTATAGGTATTAAAAAGTCGTTGGTCACTGAACGTTATTTCATCTATATAATTAATGTAAGTAGGTATGTAATCAAAAATATTTTTTTAAGTGATTTGAAGAATTCATTACAATTTTTTTTTTTCAAAATATTATACTATTTAACTATTCGAATAGCTGTAAAATCTATTTTAATTTTATCATCTAAACAAGCAGAATATATTTGTCTGATTTAATCATATCTAAATCAAACCCGAACCAGTATAGTTATATTTTAGTCAAAAAAATTTAAAATTAAAATTAACAAATAAATATATTGATCAACATATTATATCTAAAACAATGATCGGACGCACACAGACGGTAAATATTACGAATATACGAATATAGATAGGTAAGTACTCACGGTAAGTAGAAAACTCAGCACAAAAATACGTATACTGGCTACGGTGTTACTCGTTGATTGCGGAGGACAAAATCCGAAAAACAGAGTTGAAAAAATGTCGATAAAATATTTGAATACGACCGTGTTCAGTAAAATAATTTGAGGAATTGTTTATTTTTTTTTTTAGCTGGATGTATCGTGAGAACACTAGTTGGATTCTTCGACGGTCGAGAACGGATTGACTGTGTGAGATAGTCGGGACTTCCTGACGACGACGTTGCTGGTCGGGTTTAGCCGCCGCCTCCAGGGTAGGAGTTGGTGGCGACAGCGGTAAAAACTTCCGGTTTGCTGAGACGCGTTACGAAATGACTTTCATTTCGCCCGGACTTTCCGGACAACTGTTGCGGAGCATACCTATACACTTACATTAATGCGATATGCGCCTATATATGTAACGTATATATCTAACACGTGGATTCATATTCTCCGTATGACTATAAGCTAAAGGTAAATTATATTGTCGTAATATTCGTCGTGCGTCTCCGTCGGCGGAAACCGGTTTTATATTTTGTTCTAAGCGCACTATATTAAAAAATAAAATAACAATCGGTTTTTTGTTAATTGCAGTCGTTATATCATTTTCAATATACATAMATTTATCCCAAAACACTCAATATCACTTGACTTGACACTTAACCTAACCTAACATACCCCCACATGAAACATACACTGTCTAATCCTACAGTAATTTCTTATGATTTAGTAATTTTGTAAATACTTGGGAAACTTAATTTTCATTTTGAAATTAAAACCTTATTTTCATTTTTGATTTCGTTTTATAAGTTTGTAATAAAATAATGTTGTAAATAAATACAAAAATATCAAATCAAATGAGATCATATTATATTSTAATTTTAAATTAGTTTCTTTTGCTYATCAAGACGACAAACTTCAGATTTAAATAGTTTATTATCGTCGGTAAAGTAATATTCTTGATTATCACTGAACACAGTACTAAAAACGGAACAATCTTATAAAAATCGAGACAAATGTTAGGTTAGATTTAGTCATAATCAGGGGAAATGGACTTTTAAAGTTTAAAATTATTTCAGAAAAAAATTAAAACAAAGTATTTTAAGAAAAAGAAAAAANTTTTAGCATATTAACCATATTTTGATGTTTTTAATTGTATATTTTATGGATTTCAGTAAAATAAATCCCTGTCATCTTATAGTTAATGTAATCATATACTTCTGTCCATTCAGCACAATTCAAAGTTGAATTGCCTAAAAATGTTTTTAAATATTTTTGATGTTATATTTCATTAAATTAAATCATACTCTATTATAATATAAATGGTATGTAAAAAATGTAAGYTATACGTATCTAATTATTATTAATATAGTCTTGAAGTTTGAAAAAACAAACAATTTTAATATCTACGATCTACCTACCTACCTACCCACCTACCTATTAGTATTTCATTTCAACTATTTTAAACTAACGCAAATTATACGTATCGAAGTGTACGCAGCATATATTATAAAAATTATTATAATATTTAATAGCACAAGATATTATTATTACATTGATAATTCGTCTCGTTTTGATTTTKAATTTGATTTTTTCATAAACAATAATTATATAGTGTAGCGAGCTATCTGCAATGAAAACACATTGAGGCGACTATCTAAAAATTGTTTCGATTTTGTGATTCCGACCATCACAGTGCCATGTTTGTAACATAWAAAATAATTATTTTTAGAAAAAAACGTCAAAATATAATTAATTTCATCAAATATTATATCAATATTAATTAACTATTAGTTTTCGATCGCATGCACACGTCGCGTGCACGCTTACACATAACACTATACTATTACTTGGTACTTATTAAACGAAAAATACACATATAATTCAAATAGTAACAAATATATATGTCACACATATGTTTGATATAATRCATATACCTATTTATAGTGATGTAATTATGTAACTTACAGACAATTTCACAATTTTAACCTAGTCATGAGTATATCTAACAAGTAATGAAATCAAAAGTCAAAATATTTTTTTTATTAATATTACTTTTCAATATATCAGCTAACTAATAATAAATATTTTTTTTACAATATAAAATTGGSCCATTTTTCATTGTATTACAACATTTTTCATTTTTTCATTTTAACGTTGACAATGTTTAAAGTTTARTCGTCGTCGACCTTGAAATTCAAAAACCGTATTTACTAACCAAAAATAAGTTTAAGAATATTTAATTTTTTTCTATTTTCACTAACTAACTCTARCATAAAATAAGATAAAAATATATTATACAATTTAAACATATGATGGTATTTAATTTTTATATTTGTCATGCAATCGATGTCATCTACTCGTGTTTTTATATAAAATATAATGTTCTGTGACATTCAAGACGTGGTGAATCTATGCTAGAATTTATTACTACGCACATAACGTTAGATCTACTCGTACCTATATAATCGTAGTTTCATGAATAACAATTGGTATATTATGTACCTATACCTGGGTATATACCACATATACCTACTATTTATGTACAATATATTCATTAAAAACTCATGAAACCTCATASATAATAWAGATATGGATAGGCCACGATTATGTTGAATATATTTGAGGCCGTGTTCCCACTGGAGGGTAAGGCAATTGAGGCTCTTTGATCATAGCTTTTATATTGATAGTCGAAAATTGATGTAGATGTATATGCTTATTTTACCTCAATTGTACCTCTTAATTACCGCTGATAAGACCGTTACGTCCTATCCATATCTTTATTATCTATGCGAAACCTCCACATGTGCTAATGATAATGTTCCAACAATACATATCAGAGGCTAAGGTTAGTCATGTTAATTAAAGAGTCATAATTTGTTTCGTTGAGTAGTATATATATGTGTGTGTGTGTGTGCATTCATATACAATAATGGTGTGTATACGTTGATTAGAAAACTATAAGAATGATAATTGAGGGAGTTTGCTCCGACTAATTATCGCATATTGTTGGTGAGAGATTTGATAGATGTGAAATGTACCTAACTATATAGACCATTTCAGGTCATCGATTTGTAAACACTAAATAATTTATAAGCGACTGAAACCAAAAAAAAAAAAGCACTGCGATCTCACCACTACATGTTTACACATTGTACATAACAAATGCCAACAATGGCCAATAAGCATAATATGAACATTGAACATAATACAGATTATCTGCATTATTATCGTGAAGATGAAACAGAACAACGAATATCGATTCAAAATTCAAACATATAAATAATTGTAAGAACCTATTACCTATTTAAAGAAACTATGCTATGTAAGTTGGTAATGTCCATTTAACTAGCTCGTAAGTACAAGTAAAATTGTCTTTCAAGCAATAGCTTTAAAAATCGAAAGCACTGCGTGCATCATGTAACTATTTAAAATCATTGGATATGCACTATTTTTAGACCCTCTACTAATCATTGTTCCTCKACCAAATGATTTGAATTCAATAAATGCCTAAATTATTACCTATAATGTTATGAATATATTATGAAGTTTTTATTTTTTATATGCGTATATAATTTATTGGTATAGGTATGGGCGAAAAGACATATAACATAATATTGTTGTTCATATACATTTATACAACCAAAACTGATAAATTTTTAGGTGTTTATATTGATTAGTTTATTATTACAAAAGAAAAAACACTGCTCRCCACGCCTAAAAAATTGCTTATCCTACGGTCCTTAAAACACTTTTTCAAAATGAATATTTTTAGTTTAAACTGYCAGACCGATCTCTTTTTTAACAGTACGTGTGCTATGTCCAAATATAACTCATCAATAAAAAGGGTCTTAAGTTTTCAAGATCTAAAACTATTTTTTGACTCTCTATAGGTGTATAAGCCACAGACAAAAAATAAAATAATTTTCACGTGCTTATCCTTTGTGGTTCTCCTACAGACGCTCATCATTGGTAGGTTAAATATTTTATATTTTTCATGTACAACTGTACAAGCTATACGCACGAGATCATAAGAGTCTCATTAAAAAAYCCTACTGCACTCGTCTCGTCCTATACTCTAATCTTTACTGCCGTTGGTACGTTCAATTCTCGTTTTACGTCATATTATTTAGATTTTGTATGCTGTGTTTGAGTGAGTGTTAGACTGCAATTGTTTCATGTAATTGTCCAATAGTTGTCTCCTGGGGTCGCTCATTTCATATCGTTACATTATTATCGTATTATTGGCAAAATTTTTTTTTAAATTATTTTATAATATTATTGCTCATCGTCAATGGTAATGATATGAAAATAAAATAAAAAATACTGTCGGTTACAGGTCGGCACCACGTCATTTCACGAAGAAGAACATTATTGCAATCAGCRCAGTATTATTTAAATCTATCATGATTCAAATAATAGAACAATTTATTCGTATATACTATATGAGGTGTAAAACCGACAGATCTTATAACTGTGTGGTAAGGTTATCGATAAAAGGACTAAAATAGTACTATTACTATTATTATGCTCTACAGACCTACAGTCGTGACGATACGGCCGTTTCTTTAACTCAGGGGTGAAATTAATGGTTAGGTTAGGTGGTTGCTATTTAAGTTTTTATTTATTATTATTATTATTTCTCTTTTTTTTTTTTAACGACCAGTGGACGTCCGATATATTGTGATAATTTTAATTTGTATGCACATAAAAAAAACATAGTTCTTACTTATACCTATCATGATCTGATTTATAAAATGTTAAAAACTTATTTCTTTATCCCTAAGTTTAGATGATTATATTATTGTCAGGAAAACTTTAAGTAATAAAAAAAAAAAATGTTCAATATATATTATGATAACAATATTGAAAAATAATTGGTCTCCGGACGAATACGATTTCATTTTAATGATCGCACATCGACTTTTAGTACAATAAGAGTTACAGTGTCATAGGTACTGATCTGGGCCCAAACCTAATAATGATACACAGTTGTTATTTGTAAAATTACAGTGAAACGTTTTTATTTTTACTATGAACCATAAAGAAGTATAGATAGGTAAAGTATAATATATTCAAAAAAAAATAATTTAATTCATAAAAGGAAAATTGCATCGATCATCACAAATGATTACGCGTGGTAGTACAAACACCAATATACATAAATAAACTTAAAATTAAAAGAGCAACTCAACATCCATTATTGTACCTACACTCAAGCCCGGAAAGATAAAAAATTTTCAAACCGCTAAAATCCGGTTGTTGTATAGATTTCACCATTAATGTTTGGATTTAGTATTTATAAAAGAAGAAATAAAGTCTGAACGATTTGCCACCACATAAACAACATTGAACTGTTTAGATTTGCTTGTTTTTAACTCTAAATTATACTCAACTGTATTGGTCTTGACTGAAATGCGACCTCCAATATACGATATTCGCTTGACAAACTCGAAGGATAATAATTTATTACACTTACACAAATTGTATTTATTTTCAATTTCGATTAATGGAGAAATTAAATTATAGTTCCAACTATATAACCTCCCGCCACGGGTCGACGCAGAAAATATTTCACATGTCAATAATTAATTCATATTTGTACTATATATTTAGAGATTAAAAAAAATTATTCGATACGCAAGGGTCTCCGAAATTCAATAGTATCGCCGATAAATAGAATACATATTTATTTTTTTTTTTATGTTTACTACCCATTTCAAATCAATATGTACCATCGCGATATACCGTATTTGATCGATGTTAATGTATAAAAAATGTGGGCTAACRACTCCGTGCGGGTCGAAGCATTTATTCGCACTCACCTCGTCGGGTAAAGATCTCTTCCAGAGCCCCAAAAGCTTTCCAGCCATGGCTGCTGGCTTGGCGGGCTTGCCAGACGACGAAATCTTGTGCCAGTCTTGTGCGAGCTTGTGCATCATCCACATGCCGGCCAGCCCCATTGCAGCCAGCAAAGCCAGCCTGATGAAGTGTATGTGCGCCTTAACGGCGGCGCCCATCACCAGCACTAAGAATCCGATTATCGCGAATCTCATATTGGCAATCGCTTTGTAGGTATTTACTGAAACAGAAAATTTGTATTACCACCGCGCTCGTCTTAATATAATAACTTTATAGGTATTAAAAAGTCGTTGGTCACTGAACGTTATTTCATCTATATAATTAATGTAAGTAGGTATGTAATCAAAAATATTTTTTTAAGTGATTTGAAGAATTCATTACGATTTTTTTTTTTTTTCAAAATAGTATACTATTTAACTATTCGAATAGCTGTAAAATCTATTTTAATTTTATCATCTAAACAAGCAGAATATATTTGTCTGATTTAATCATATCTAAATCAAACCCGAACCAGTATAGTTATATTTTAGTCAAAAAAATTTAAAATTAAAATTAACAAATAAATATATTGATCAACATATTATATCTAAAACAATGATCGGACGCACACAGACGGTAAATATTACGAATATACGAATATAGATAGGTAAGTACTCACGGTAAGTAGAAAACTCAGCACAAAAATACGTATACTGGCTACGGTGTTACTCGTTGATTGCGGAGGACAAAATCCGAAAAACAGAGTTGAAAAAATGTCGATAAAATATTTGAATACGACCGTGTTCAGTAAAATAATTTGAGGAATTGTTTATTTTTTTTTTTAGCTGGATGTATCGTGAGAACACTAGTTGGATTCTTCGACGGTCGAGAACGGATTGACTGTGTGAGATAGTCGGGACTTCCTGACGACGACGTTGCTGGTCGGGTTTAGCCGCCGCCTCCAGGGTAGGAGTTGGTGGCGACAGCGGTAAAAACTTCCGGTTTGCTGAGACGCGTTACGAAATGACTTTCATTTCGCCCGGACTTTCCGGACAACTGTTGCGGAGCATACCTATACACTTACATTAATGCGATATGCGCCTATATATGTAACGTATATATCTAACACGTGGATTCATATTCTCCGTATGACTATAAGCTAAAGGTAAATTATATTGTCGTAATATTCGTCGTGCGTCTCCGTCGGCGGAAACCGGTTTTATATTTTGTTCTAAGCGCACTATATTAAAAAATAAAATAACAATCGGTTTTTTGTTAATTGCAGTCGTTATATCATTTTCAATATACATAMATTTATCCCAAAACACTCAATATCACTTGACTTGACACTTAACCTAACCTAACATACCCCCACATGAAACATACACTGTCTAATCCTACAGTAATTTCTTATGATTTAGTAATTTTGTAAATACTTGGGAAACTTAATTTTCATTTTGAAATTAAAACCTTATTTTCATTTTTGATTTCGTTTTATAAGTTTGTAATAAAATAATGTTGTAAATAAATACAAAAATATCAAATCAAATGAGATCATATTATATTSTAATTTTAAATTAGTTTCTTTTGCTYATCAAGACGACAAACTTCAGATTTAAATAGTTTATTATCGTCGGTAAAGTAATATTCTTGATTATCACTGAACACAGTACTAAAAACGGAACAATCTTATAAAAATCGAGACAAATGTTAGGTTAGATTTAGTCATAATCAGGGGAAATGGACTTTTAAAGTTTAAAATTATTTCAGAAAAAAATTAAAACAAAGTATTTTAAGAAAAAGAAAAAACACACATCATGGTAAAATCAATACATTCTTCGTCCGCTCAGAATCTAAAATACAATATAGAACAATAAAATAATGAAAAATGTAAATAAATATCTTTWTGCAATTTTTAATAATGGAATATGAATATTTTGTTTACCAAATTCATCGGGCAACATCTTAGAAATTATTCACGGCATACACRAATCTAAACGTTGAAAAGGATAATTCAATAAAAACCTATATAGCTATGCCATGTGCTTCATATTTAAAACATTTTCAAAAGCTAAAAGAAGAAAAATGTTTGATATTATAATTATATTGTAATAAGGTTAACAATATGATAGTAACCTAACCATAACAATTGAATTTAGAAATATATATAATATATTTAATAAAAGCTATTAAGTTTTTTTGTTGCAATTGTTTATTTTTAAAATTCACGTCATATAGCATTTAAAAAAAATGCATTTCAAGTCCTTATTGTTAATTATTATTCTTCGATGATCTGCCATGTTGTACTTAACTACCAAAAACCCTACAAATTCGAAACACGCTACCTATTTTGCCTCGATACATCGTACGTTGTGCAATAAAAAGATCTCCTATACATACTATACATTATAACTCAGTATTTACTGACGACACGTCTCAACACGCACGCGTGACGCGTTTTGACCGCAAACTCGCTGTATACTATCACGGGCAGTTTRTATATTAATAAATAATAAGAATTTATTATTATTATTATAATTATTATATGGTTTTRCGATTTCACCGTCTTCGTAGTTGGTCAGCTACGTGTGCTAGGCGGCGACTACTGACGTGACGTCGTCTCGTATTATAATAAATAAAAATATAATATCACGAGTATTATACCGGAAACGCATTATTCGTTATAATGTAATATGATATAATACTGCAACAATACGGTACGGCGTATAATATTATCAATTATCATACAATATCGTAGGACGACATCACAATAACAATGTATTTAATGATATTACGTTACCTACGTTAGGTACGCTGCACGCCACCCACGTATCATACAACATCGTGTTTTCGAGACCACTAAGAAAAAAACTAATTCATGCCATTGAT